CACCACCATCAGTTAGAGGGGGGAAGGAGATGGAGGACTCGGAGGAGGAGGAGGAGGAGATTGAGGACGAGGAGGAGGAGCAGATGGAGGAGGAGGAGGAGGAGGAGGACCCCCTCGCCCTCCAACTTGTGGTGGTGGTGGTGGAAAGCAGGCCCAGCAGCTGCTGCTGCGGCGGCAGCGCGGCTCGTGCCGTCACTTGCTCAGCCGCTGGCCCGGGGGCTGTCCGGCACGCCACGCTATGGGCCCGGCGCGCCCGCCGAGCCAGGGGGGATGCGTGCTGCCTTTCCCTGCCAACGAGTCGGAGGGGGGAGGAGCGACACCAACACCACCAGGGGGGCCACCTCCAGCGAGGAGGTCCACGATGCCTCCCCGAGCTGGAGGCTGGGGATGTCTCGCGCGAGAGGGGGGGCCCTGTCTCCTCGCATCTCCTCGCCCTGGTGGTGCTGGTGTCGCCTTTCCTTCCCCCTGGCCAGCGAGGGGGCCTCTGCTGGGCGAGGGTCTCTCCGAGCCGGTGTGGGCCACGCTGCGGCCACAGTGGGGGCAAAATTTCCACTCAAGCAGTGGCGAAGCGTCCTGGCTCGCCTACAGCCCCACCAAACAGTGTTCTGAGAACTTTCTGTGTGACTTCCACGAAAGGTTCTCAGGAAATTTCTGGCGGAGTCTGTCTTGTTTGATCACATCGGGTTCATGTTCTAAGATCACTGTTTATTAGAGCACTTCTGGGTTCTAAGAACATTTTCGTGGTAGGACTATAAGAATGCCGGGACGGTCGGTCCCTGCTCAATCCAAGCCGGTGTGGGCCACGCCGCGGCCACAGTGCGGGCAAGGCTTTTCCACTGCGTCTTGGAGATGCTGGGTAGGGGCACCAAAAGGCCGAGGCGCAGCGGAGATGGACAAACATCTAGCCTCCAACCAGGGGGGCAAAGCGAGGCAGTCTCCGCTTGCGGAAGCCGGCGGAAGGCTGGCGGAAGGCGGCGGAAGTAAACGATGGGCCCCCAAGAGATGAAAAAAATTTGGGGCTTCAGAGTTTCCGAAATTGCCACACGAGCAGTGCAGCGAGGTCATCCAGTTGGGGCCGGTGCCCGCAGCGTGACGCCAGCAAGTGCGGCCATTTGCCCCCCCCTCTGTCCTGGACCCCGTTTTGTCAAGACCTCCAGGCGAAGCGCCGCTCCACGACTGTGGAGCTGACGCGCTCTGACCGCGCATGCCGATCGAGGCGCTGGTGCCGACGGAGCGCACTGCGGGGTCCCCGCGCCGCGATCGCGGCGGCCGAGAGGCGGAGGCCACCTCGTGGAGGGGGCCTGGCTCGCAACAGGACGGCCTGGGCCCCCCTGCAGGCGAGGGGGGCAGTTCATGACTTGCCCATGCTGCCGGCCAAGCTGGACAGGCTGGCATGCCTCCACCCCCCCAGGAGACGGTCCGGCGCGAGCCGCCCGGCTCGGCCGCCCGGCCCCATGGGGCTCCCAGGGGGAAGTTGGGCCCCAGCTTGTGAAGCCCTCCCTCGAAGAAGAAACGACACACGTACATCAGCTTTTGGCGCTCCGGGTTTCTTGGATCCGCGCCTGGGCCCTTCGGCGGCGCCGCCCCTGGCGCGCTCCGCGCGCCGGGGAGGGGGGTCAAGCGCGAATCCAGGAAATCCGCGCGGAGCGCCAAAAGCGCCAAAAGCGTAAGTTTATGTGTTTTTACTTCTTCTACTCCCAGCGAAGGGCCGATCCACGATTGCGAAGCACGGGTGCCTTCACTTTGGGCTTTCGCGCCCAGGCCGTGGATGTGAAGCGAGGCATCGGTGTCGACAGGCTGCACCGCAGGACTCGCGCCTCGCGACGATGGCGGCCCAGAGGCGGAGGTCACCTTGATGGGGCTTGGCTCGCCCTCCAACTCCAACAAGGTGTGGCTCTCCTCCTTGTCCTTACTCCAGCCTGCTTTCCAGACTAGGGGACCACATGCGAACCCTACCCCTACCCTTCACGATTTCTGAGGGGGAGGGTGGGGTTCACTTCGCTCGGGAGCTCCCGAACGAAGCGAACCCCACCCTCCCTTCCAGAAATCGTGGGGGGTAGGGGTAGGGTTCGCATGTGGCCCACTACGGACTCTGCTTGCCAGCGCTTTTGGTTGTGCAGCGATGGAGGGTCTCCAGCGGGTCAACTCAGGATGCCACTCGCGCACCGGGCGTGTCAGTTTGCCGGGCCGACCTGCAGGTGAGAGCTCCGCCTGCGAACGTCCTCGCCCCTGCTTGGATGGACCGCTTTGCTCTCGCTGCGCTCGCCGAGGAGGTTTGCAGGTGACGTCCTCCTGTTTCTCAGGGCAGCGATTTCCGCTCGCTCGTCTTTCCTTTATCTCTTGTAGAAGAAAAGGACAAGTGTGGCTCTGTTTGCCGCCTCCTGTGCCCCCGCAGGGCCGCACCACCACTGTGACTGACTCTCGACGGGCGGCAGCAGCCCTGGAAGCCTGGGGAAGGGCGTGGGGGGGCGATCTGGTCGACTGGCTGGGGGCCCTGGGGCCTGGTCACCCTGTATCCTCTGGGGGTTTCTATAGGCACTTGCCCGTGCCGTTGGGCTCCTCGTCCCCGCCCAGCCGACGACGACCCAGTGACGGGGACCTGTGGTCGATCCACACTCGAATCGACCAGGCTGATGGGCCAGCTGAGAGCTTCAGGTCCGTGGCCCTCTGCGACATGACCCCCGACTGCTACTCGACGGCAGCGATTTGTGGTCGATCCACACTCGAATCGACCAGGCTGATGGGCCAGCTGTGAGCTTCAGGTCCGTGGCCCTCTGCCTTGGGGGTCACCGCCCCAGCCTGCGACATGACCCCCGACTGCTACTCGACGGCAGCGATTTGTGGTCGATCCACACTAGAATCGACCAGGCTGATGGGCCAGCTGAGAGCTTCAGGTCCGTGGCCCTCTGCGACATGACCCCCGACTGCTACTCGACGGCAGCGATTTGTGGTCCGATCCACACTCTGAAATCGACAGGCTGATTGGCCCGCTGAGGAGCTTTCAGGTCCGTGGCTCTCTGGCGACATGACCCCCGACTGCTACGCCGCGGTCAGCGATTTGTGGTCCGGATCCACACTGACCACAGAATCGAACGCATGCTTGAAGAGGGCCAGCTGTGAGCTTCAGGTCCGTGGCCCTCTGCCTTGGGGGTCACCGCCCCAGCCTGCGACATGACCCCTGACTGCTACTAGACGGCAGCGATTTGTGGTCGATCCACACTAGAATCGACCAGGCTGATGGGCCAGCTGAGAGCTTCAGGTCCGTGGCCCTCTGCCTTGGGGGTCACCGCCCCAGCCTGCGACATGACCCCCGACTGCTACTAGACGGCAGCGATTTGTGGTCGATACGCACTCGAATCGACCAGGCTGATGGGCTAGGTGTGAGCTTCAGGTCCGTGGCCCTCTGCCTTGGGGGTCACCGCCCCAGCCTGCGACATGACCCCAAGACTGCTACTCGACCGCAGCGACTTGTGGTCGGCCCATTCGAGCCGACAGGCTGGGAGAGATACGCTCAATCGGAGTCCTCAGCTTCCCTGCCTCTCTGCATTGTACATCTGGCGTGGGAACACACACATCCCAGCCTGAGACTCTTGCATTGCCAGGGTGCGTGTCGTGACACACCTCTGCCTCCACTGTGAAGACGCAGAGGCGCCGATTGCTGCGACGACAGCTGCGCCGTCCACGACCCCAAAGAAGCCAACGACAACCCTCCAACCCAGATCCCCGAAGACGATGCGACGACGGCGACCTGCGGCCAGTCCACTCCAGTCGACAGGCCGAGAGCTCCACGTGAACGCAGGGTCCGCAGCTCTCTGCCTTTGTACCCGCGGCGCGGGAGTCAGCGTCACTACGACTGCGGCCGGCGGTCCATCCAAGATGATCTACAGGCCCAGCCCAGCCATCGCACGTTCACGACTGGGGAAGGCCCACCCCCACGCCGTCGGACGTGGGCGCACCTGGCTGCACTGGCGGCGCCTGCTTGTCCCAACGAGCCCTTCCGCCTGTGGCCGTTGGCTGGTGTCGGCTTGGGGGGGCCAAGTCTGGCCTGCCAAGGGCCGCCTGAGGACCCCCTCCTCGCTGCTGCACGACTGCCGGCCCGCGCAGAGTGGCGGCTCGCAGCTGCGCGCCCTAGGAGTCTCGGCCGCTGCCGCCCGGCCGTTCACCGGCAAGGGGGCTGCTCAGTGGCTACTAGTGGCGCCCCGTGCGTCCCCTGAGCTGAGCCCCATGAGCTTAGCTTCATAGCCAGTGTCGAACGGCGTCGGCACGGGGAAGAGGAGGAGGAGGAGGAGGAGGAGGAGGAGGAGGAGGAGGAGGAGGAGGAGGGGCAGCGAGGATGCAGAGTCAGGGGAGGGGAGGAGAGGAGGCGTCGGAGGAGGACGGCTTGGCACCGTAACATGGGGGAGGGGGAGGGAAGCGGATGAGGAAGGGTGAGGGGCAGGATTGATTCGATTGGTGGCTTGCCCGGGATCGCGCAAAGCTCAGCAGAGAGTCGGGGGGAGGCGGCTTGCATTCTCTCCCCTCGTAATTACCATTTCGTGCCCCATTTTCGCTCCTTCCAGTTCACATTCCTCTTTCTCCTTCTGCTCCTTGCCTCGGGGAGATATCTGGCAACGTTGGGGAATTCCCCCCAGCCCAATCCCACCGAGCGGATTCGTCGCTCGGACGAACGTGGGGGATAGGAAACAGGGGGGGGGTACAACTTCTGCTGTGTGCAGCTGGTGTCGAGGAGGGAGGAGGAGTATGAGGAGGAGGAGGAGGAGGAGGAGGGGGAGAGCGACGAGGTGGTTGGAGGAGGAGGAGGAGGAGGAGGAGGAGGAGGAGGAGGAGGAGGAGGGAGGAGGAGGAGGAGGGAGGAGGTGGTGTCGGTCCCGCCGCCTGACACTTTCTTTAATAGACTGGCGCCGAGAGGCGCGGGGGAAGTCAGCTGCGCGAGCTGCTCCGTGAACACCCCCCCTTTGCGATGCCCCCTTTTTACGACCGACGCGAGCTTTGGGGGGGAGGCTGCTGGCCTACGAGATCTCCCGCAGCGTGAACGCCGCGGTGATGACGGTGGGCATCATGGCCGTGATCCCCGCACACCTGATGCGCTCTTGCGGTGGGAAGCTCCGACATTGTCACCGCTGCCCCTTCTCATCCGCCGTCGGCCAGAGGTTGGCACAGGCCTCGCCAAGAAGTGAACCAGGCTACCGATCAAAGCAAGCTAGACCGCCCAGAAGTATACCAGACCTTTCCCGCAAGCGAACCAGACCACGCGTCAAGGGCACCAACATCACCCAAAGGTCGACCCGTAAACTTGACCACCCGTGGACGCAAGCTAGGCCACCCAGCAAAGCAAGGCAGGCCCCGCCCAAAAGTGCCAGATGACGCATCGCAGCAAGCCTGACCCCAGCAAAGTACTTCGCAGTACCAGTGTCCGTCCGCGAATAACGGGGCCGCCCAACGCAGTTGATCGTCTCAAGGGCCAAGTGCAGGCAAAGAGGCGCGCGCGCCGCTTCCTCTATTCGCGCGCATGGTGCGGCAGTACAGTGGTGTACTTCCTTACATGACGACCACGATATCTTCAGAGCATAATGTTTTGTGCGTGTATGTTCTGCCTCGGGGAGCCTTCTCTGGACACATGGGCCTCGAACAAGCGGTTTTGGAAGTAATAGCGGGAGGAATCGCAAGGGTATCCAGGGACTCCGCAGTCGAAGCAGAGATCGATTCTTTTTATTCCCCGCATCCAAAGTGGGATTCTTGCGTTCTCTGGACACCCCCGCGCAATATATCACCTCCTCTCTTCCTTTTCCTCAACATCTCCCTCGTCATCATTATCATCAGTATCATCATCATCATCATCATCATCATCATCATCATCATCATAATCATCATCATCATCATCATCATCATCATCATCATCATCATCGTCTCATCATCATCGGCAGCATCGCCATCATCAGCATCATCATCATCATCATCAGCATCATCATCATCAGCAGCATCATCACCCATATCATTGTCCTCATCCTCATCATCATCATCATCATCATCATCATCATCATCAGCATCAGCATCATCATCATCCGAATTCGAACTATCACCATCGCCATCATCATCACCATCAGCAGCATCACCACCATCATCATCACAATGATCCCCATCCCACTCAGCAGCACAACCATCGTCATTCACACACACAGTTCTCTCGTTCATTCCCTCTCACACACCAGTCATCACCACCACTACCATCATCATCATCACCGTCACCGTCATCACACCGCGACCATGTGTCATCATCATCGCCACACCATGTGTCATCATCATCGCCACACTCACACGCACACACGCGTATTTGCCCTCAGGAAGTCTCGAACGCATATTTGGTGTGTGGGCGACGTGAGAGGAAGTCTCAGGCGGGAGCCCTCCTCCTTATGGGGCCCACACTAAATGTTCGAATACGACGCGGGTCCTCGGACAATTCCTTAGCAGGCCGCTTGAGCACCCTGAAAAGGTACATTGTGGGTGAATCGCGAGGAAGTCTCGAGCGGGGGCCCGCTCCCTATGGGTCGCGCCTCAGGTTCGAATCCGAAGGCGGGACATCGGAAGATTCCACCACGCATAGCCATGAGCACCCCAGGGAGGCAACTTGTAAGCGAATAGCGGGGAGGTCTCGAACGGGAGCCCTTTTCCCTAGAGGGCCCGCACCTCATGTTCGACTCCGAGGCGGGCCACCGGAAGCCTGCACTGGGCACAGCACGTGAGCACCCGATTGGGGCGAAGTGTGAATGAATGGCAAAAGTCTCGAGCGGGAGGCCTCTCCGCATGAGACCCGCGCTTCCTTTTTGCATCCGAGTCGGGTCGTCGAAGTCTCGACCATGCATCGCACTTGAGCGCCCCAAAGAAGCAAACCTCGGGTGAGTAGCGAAGAAGTCTCGAGCGGGAGCCCCCCCCCTTTGGGGCCCGCAGCTCACGTTTGAATCCGAGATGGATCATCGGAAAATTCTGCCATGCAGTAGCGCTGGAGCTTTCTAAGGAGGCAGACGCAGCGCCAGAAATCTCGAGCGGGAGCCCTCCCTCGTGGGGCCCGCACTTCATTTTCGAATCCGGAGCTGGTCTTCGGAACATTCTATCAGGCATAGCAGTTGATCGCCCCTAGGAGGGGAATCTTCCGTGTATAGTGAAGAAGTCTCGAGCAGTAGCCCCGTCCATTGGGGGCCCGCACTTCGCGTTCGAATCCAAGGCGGGTCATCGGAAGACTTTACCAACCATAGCATTTGAGCACCCTGGGCCGCACATCGCGTTCGACTCGGAGGCGGGTGGTCGTAAGACTCTACCAGCAATACCACTTAAACATCCAAAGGAGGCAAATTGTGAGAAATCAGGCGTGGTCGAGTGTGGCGCGATTCGCGGAGACCCCGAGGCGGGCCGGCGCCTCCCCAACTTTCCGAACATGCGCAAGACAGGGGGCATCCACTGCATGGATGTTCTTTTCTTGGCATCGCAGGAAGAGTTCAAGACGAAGTTGGGGCTCGCGCAGAGGCAATAGGGCCTCCATCGTGACCTTCGAGTTCCAGACCGACGAGCGGAAACGCAAGGGGTGCGCGCCCGGCCAGCTCTTTCGACCCCGGTACCTGCCGCAGGGAACCCGGCTGCAGGTGCCAGTTTCGACCAAGGAGGTTGCCACGCTGCTGCTACGCGGCGCCAAAGGCGCTGACGACGACGGCGAGGCCGAGGCGCGGACGAGGATTTCGCCCATGTTCAGGTCCAGCGAGCAGGAGCTCGCGTAACAAAGCTCGGGGCCGCGCGTCGCTCGCCGCTCGTGGTTCGCCCTGGCGCGCGCGTCGCGCCTCGCATCAACGCTGTCGCAGGCCGAGACGTTGCGCAAGGGCGTCACCAACAATTGCGCCAGGGATGAGAACGCGGGCCACATGGGCATGTCAGACGAGTAGCGGCGGCCGCTCCATTACTGTGATTTCTCCCGTGCCACGCGCGTGCGGAACATGCTGGCTCTGCGGCCACCCTCCGGGAGTTTCTGGAACGCGGGCCGTCAGAAACCCTGCGGAAAGCTTTCGGGGAGTTCGACAAAGTGGCTGTGAATTCCAGGGATGAAGCGGACCAGCTCGCGGCCGCGAGTAGCTCGAGATTGGCAAGTTTGCCCCAACGGTTTGCGAGGCGGAAGGGGGAAAAGGGGGCCAGGAGGGCGAGGAGGACGCTGAGCAGGAGGGGGCGGGAGGAGGGCCCCCGCTAGGGACAGTGGGGCCGAAAGGAGAAATTGTGATTAGAACACAGGAGAAGAACCTCGGCATTCACAAAGATGACGACGATGAGTAGTTTCGGAATAATTTGGGGAGACCGTCATGTGGGGTCGTTCCGTTGGAGTAGTTTTCTGAACATGCTGCGCAGTCCTCGCCCACACTCTTTTTTCATGTACACCTTTCACACTCATCACGGCCTTACATCACGTCCCAGACTCAGACACATCACGAACATAACCACGTCATCATCGCTACCATTATCACACCACTGTCGTCATCACCATCACCATCACCGTCCCGTCACGACCAGTGGCCATTCCCATCGTCACCACCGTCATCATCATGACTACGATCCCCGTCGCACCCATTAGCACAACCGTCATCAAACACACCCACTTCATTCACTCATCTTCCCACATACACATCATTCACCACCACCGCCATCATAGTTATGACTACCACCGCCGTCATCATCATCGCATTGTGACCATCGGTCATCGTCATCACCACACCAAAACCATCGCATAACACATTCAAGCATTCATTCACACGCTCATGCATTTGGTTGTCGTCAGGAGGTATCAAACGCACGCTCCATTTGTGGGTGAATTCGGACGAAGCCTCAACCGGGAAACCTTTCCCTTGTTACGGGGTATACACTTCATGTTCGAAACAGAGGCGGCCCATCGGAAAATTTTACCAAGCATAGCCTTTGAGCGCCCCGGGGAGGCGAATTGTGAGTGAATCGCGGGGAAGTTTCGAGCGGGAACACCCCCCCTTGCGGGGCCCACGCTTCATGTTCGAATCCGAGGCGGGCCACCAAAACATTCCACCAGGCATAGTACTTGAGCACCACAAGGGGGAGAATCGTCAGTGAACGGCGAGGGCGTCTCGAGCGGGACCCCCCCACACATGAGGCCCACATTCCATGTTGGCAGTGCGGACGTGTCACCGGAATCCCGTCATTTTTCGGGTGTTGCTAGAATTGCCCCTGGCCCAATGTGCCCCCAGGTTTTCGCTCTATTTTTGGAGCCCCTGGAGCCCTCTGGGCCTTGTGAGGGGGGTGCTCTGGAGGCCGCCTGGGCCCCCCGAGGATCCTGGGGGCATCTTGGGCTGGGGGCACTTCTAGCAAGACCCGACTTGTTGTCATTTCTAGGCCCCTCCTTCTTGACGCGGCCGCGACGAGCTCGGGACCTGCGGGGTTGTCCCAACGGCTTGCCGACGGGGCCCGGCGGTTCGCGGGCTTGTCCCAACGGCCTACCCCGCGGGGCTGCCCCAGCGGTTTCGCGACCCGGCCATGGGAGAACGCGCGCAGGCTGGCAGAGGCGGCGGCGGCACCGAGGAAAATCGACGTGTGCGCCCTGTGCAGGAGAGGCGGGGTAGGAGGTGGGTGGAGGCGAGGGGCCAGGAGGACGAAAAGGACGCAGAGCAGGGGGCGGGAGGGCCTCCGCTAGGGCGAAGAGGAGAGGGGCGATGATAACACAGGAAGCGGACCTCGTCCTTGAATAGGGTGACGATGAGTAGCGCTTTCAGAGTCGTTTGGGAAATTCTCATGCGGGGCCCGTCCGCCGGAGCAGTTGGTTGGTGGACGCGTCAGCCACCTTTTGAAGGCGACCCGCGTTGTTGTGATTGCTGCAGGGCGCCCCCCACCATGGGGACGTTTTTGCCACTGTGAGTGCTCATCGGACTTCCCATCATGTTCCCCTCGCGGCGGAAGGAAGGAGGAGGAGGATAAGGAGGAGGAGTAAGAGGACGGAGGACGACGAGGGGAAGGAGGGGGATGGGCAAGGGGCGTGGCACGAGGAGGACCGTCGCCGCGGTGTGCCCTGTCGTTCCCTGGCAGTTCCGGGTCCTGCGCTGGATTGCCGATCGCGTTTTGGTCCCGTTTCCCCTGTGTTGCCTTCCACCCTCCGCGTTGGCGTCGACGGGGCCTCCCAGAAAACCCGTTTGACGTCGGTGGAGCCTCCGCGTTGGCGTCGATGGAGCCTCCGCGTTGGCGTCCTCCGCTGGCGCCTCATCCAGCCAAGGTTGGGGGCAGGTGGGGAGTTCGACAACGAGGCGGTGGCGATGGCCGCCATCAGCGGCACGTTCTGGCGGGGAGGGCCGTCTGGAAGCAGTTGCGAGGCCGAGAGTGGCTGATTGCCATCGCGCTTAATCGCTGCAGTTGAAGACGCCTGCGGCGAACCACCGCCGCCCCTCCTTTCGGAGACACATATGGGGCCAAACGTTGCGCCGAAGCCTTGCTAAGCCATGGGGCAATGTGTTCCTCGAGCTGTTGTGGAAACCCTTGCGGGAACACTTGGCGTAGAAAGAGACGAGGAGAGAGGGGGACGAGGAAGAGAAGGAGGAAGAGGATGAGGAGGAAGAAGCTTAGGCCCTCTTGAGTGCCTCTTGAAGGCGCCTGACGGCTTCCTGCGGACCTCTTGGGGACCCTTGATGGCCTCTTGGGCGGCTCCTGGGGCATCTTGGGGGCCTTTGGGGGCCTATAGACTGGCCGCTTGATCTTCGGATGCCGTCTTGGAAGCCTCGATCTGCTGTCTTGGGACCACCTTCTTGGGACGTTGTCGAACCGTCTCGGAGGTCTCTTGGGCCGTCTGTAGACCATCTTGAGGCCGTCTTGAAAGCCTTTTGGGCCTTTGGGTGGTTCCTGGGGCTGGCTTGGGGCAATCTTGGAGGCCTCTGGGGGCCGTCTCCGGCTGGCAGAAGCTTCGCAAGGCGAGAACGCGAAAACCAATTCAACAACGGAGTGGGGATCCATGACTTTGGCCTCCTGGAGGTCCTCTTGGAGCCCTCTTAGAGCGTCCTGGGGGCCTCTTGGGCCGTCTTGAGGTCATCTTGGGCCGTCTTGGAGTCCTCTTCGACCGTCTTGGGCCGTCTAGGAGGTATTTTGAAGCCATCTTGAGCTCTCTTGGCGCCATGGTGGCTACCTTGGAGGCGTCCTGGAGGCCATCTTGTGTCATCTCGGCAGGATGGCGTTCGCCTTTTTCCCCATCTCTGAAGTAGGAGTGTTGCTGTCCCTAGGCAGCCCCGCGCAGGGACACCTCACCCCCCTCTCATTGTCTTCCTTTCTTCCTACGCTTGTTATTTTAATGCCCACACCATCATCATAAACATCATCATCATCAGCATTCTAACACTGCCGTTACCATTACCATTATCACCATGATCACGAACATCATCATCGTCGTCAGCATCATCATCATCATCATCATCAACATCATCAACATAATCATCATCAGTATCGCCGTCATCATCATCATGATCATACTCATCATCATATCTATCATCATCATCATCATCATCATCATCATCATCATTAGTATCATACGCATCTGCATCATGAACAGCGTTGCCTTTGTCGTTGTCAGCTGTATCGTCATCGGCATCATCATCATCATCGTTGTCATCATCATCACCATCACCATCGTCATCGTCATCGTCATCGTCGACAACATCACCACCACCGTCACCACCACCATCATGATCATCATCATCATCATCATCATCATCATCATCATCATCATCATCATCATCATCATCATCATCATCAGCATCCTCATTCCCCATCCTCCTCCTCCTCGTGCTCCTGCCCCCTTTTCCGACTTAGCCTGGCGAAGGGCACCACCATATGCAGCTATGATTACCGCAAGACAGATGGAAATTGAGTGAGGGGGCTAGCAACAAGGACTACGGAGTACGTGACAAAGACGGGGCGGCGTGACGTTCCTGATGGGGTCGCAGAGATCGGCCTTGACGGGTTACATCTTGATGGAACCCATCACGGTTGATCTGCGCGTCCGTCGGCGCCGCCTTGGGAGCAACAGGCAGCGAAGCTTGCGTGGAAGCTGTTTCTGGCGCCACGAACCATGTAAAGGGTTGTGCCCAAATGGGCGTGGTGACGCATGCGATTCCTGCAACTGGGACCGCCGGCGGAGCTCCATATGATGCCGCGAAACGTGTGAGGGGTGTTCCGGAAAGGCGTGGAGATTGCATTCTGGCCCTGGCATTGGGGCCTCCAATGGAGCTCCCTATGGGGCCACGCAGCGTGTGAGGGGTACGCCAAAATGGTGTGGCGAAGGCATGTTGACCCAGCCACGGGGACCTTCTGCGCATATGAGGCCACGAAGCGTGTGAGGATTGCGCCGACATTGTGTGGACCAGGCGTGCGAAACTAGCTATTGGGGCCTTAGTTGGAGCTCCCGATGAGGCTACGAAACGTACGAGGAGTGCGTCGAAACGCTGTGGAGAGCATGCGAGCCCAGCTACTGGGGCCTTCGGTTGCGCTCCCTGTGGGGCCACGCAGCGTGGGAGGGGTGCGCCAAAGTGGTGTGAAGAAGGCATGCGGACCCAGCTGCTGAGGCCTTCGTCGTCGTCGTCGTCGTCGTCGTCGTCGTCGTCGTCGTCGTCGTCGTGGCTGACGTCGTCGTCGTCGTCGTGGCTGCCGTCGTCGTGGGCGTCGGCGTCGGCGTCGTCGTCGCCGCCGCCAGATCCCCAGGTCCACCGAGTGTCCCCCGAGTGTCCCGCCTCGTGCCAATCCGCCTACTCGGCATACCGCGGCCGCCAGATCCCCAGGTCCTCCGAGTGTCCCCCGAGTGTCCCGCCTCGCGCCTTTGACAAATAGACAAATCATAACTTACGCAGCACAGAGCATTGCATAACATGACACGTCGCACATGCCAGGGCGCGGTATGACGCATACTACATTGGCAGGACATCTAATATCATAATACCACAGGTTGTTGATAACGGGCCATTCAGAGACGAGCATGACACCAGACCGCATAGCAGAGCATCCTGGCAGATCGTGACATAACATACCATGGCAGGACAGAGCATACCATAGCACCACTCGTAACAAAGCAAGACGTAGCAGCCGTGAACATACCACAACATAACATATCATGGTCGATCATAACATAGCAGAGCAGAGCATAACAACGCACGGCCTGATTGGGCGAACATGCAGGAACTAACATACCAGCGCACTTCATACCATACCATAGAATGACAGAGTTGGGGTATAGCCTAAGATTCAATCCCACAACGGCCCGTACAACAACACAGTCTAGTATCACCCATAGCATGACAAAGCACAACATGCTATAGCGCTGACTACCATACCCTAGAATAGCATAGCCTACGATAGCATAGAATGACAGGCGATGTCAGAACGTAGCATGTATGCCATCTTCTAAAACCACATATCATTTCATGCCAGAGCACGACGGGCCATCATATGTTCACATAACCTGTCATCACACAGCATACCATGGCAGAGCATAGCATTGCACATCACACCATTGCATTCCATACCATTCCCCACCATGACATACTATACCATGGCAGAGCGTGGCGTAACACGTCATGTCATCACATAACAGAACAACTCAGGAAACTATACCATAGCAGAGCATCGCTTCACGTATCCTGTCCTGACACAATCCAACATGTTTCAACATACCAACGCAGCCAATGACACAGTGGAGCGTACAGAGCATTGCAGAACACCGCTCCCGAGACTTAGGATTCCTGAGGATTCACAAAGGATCCCTCAGCATTCCCTACGGATCCCCAGGAGATACTTTAGGATGCCCGAAGGATTTTTACCTAACAGCGTAGACTGATAGGTTTCTAGTGGTCTAAAAAGAGAGCAGCACATTACTTCAACATTACTTCAACATTACTCCACAGGGGGGTCTGGGCAGCCGTTGGGGGCAGTTGGGTGGCAGTTGGGGGGCTGTTGGGGTTTGCCGGCGGGGATCGTTTTTCGCATACAGTCACACACTTCGTGCCCACTTCGTGCTCTTCGATTTCCCAGAACTCCATTCCTGGGCCACATTTTGGATGCCCGGAGCCAACTGTAGGCCACTTCGTGCTCTTCGACTTCCCAGAACTCCATTCCCGGTCCACATTTTGAATGCCCGGAGCCAACTGTAGGCCACTTCGTGCTCTTCGAGTTCCCAGAACTCCATTCCTGGGCCACATTTTGAATGCCCGGAGCCAACTGTAGGCCACTTCGTGCTCTTCGAGTTCCCAGAACTCCATTCCCGGGCCACATATTGAATGCCCGTAGCCAACTGTAGGCAACTTCGTGCTCTTCGACTTCCCAGAATTCCCATTCCTGGGCATGATTTTGAATGCCCGGAGCCAACTGTAGGCCACTTCGGTTTCTACAGAGTTCCCAGGAATTCCATTCCCGGCCAACATTTTTGAATGCTGAGGCAGGCTGAGGCTGAGGCTGAGGCTCATGCAGGCTGAGGCAGGCGGATGCTGAGGCCGAGGCTGAAGGCAGACTGAGGCTTTGGCTGAAGCAGGCTGAGGCTGAGGCTGAGGCAGAGGCAGGCTGAGGCTGAGGCAGGCTGAGGCTGAGGCAGGCTGAGGCTGAGGCTGAGGCTGATGCAGGCTGAGGCTGAGGCAGGCTGAGGCTGAGGCTGAGGCCAAGGCTCAAGGCAGACTGAGGCTTTGGCTGAAGCAGGCTGAGGCTGAGGCTGAGGCCGAGGCTGAAGGCAGACTGAGGCTGAGGCTGAGGCAGGCTGATGCTGAGGCAGGCTGAGGCTGAGGCTGAGGCTGAGGCTGAGGCTGAGGCTGATGCAGGCTGAGGCTGAGGCAGGCTGAGGCGGAGGCCGAGGCTGAGGGCAGGCTGAGGCTGAGGCTGAAGCAGGCTGAGGCTGAGGCTGAGGCAGGCTGAGGCTGAGGCTGAGGCAGGCTGATGCTGATGCAGGCTGAGGCTGAGGCTGATGCAGGCTGAGGCTGAGGCAGGCTGAGGAGAGGCCGAGGCTGAAGGCAGATTGAGGCAGAGGCAGGAACCCAGGCTGAGGCTGTAGGCCCTGAAGGTCAAGGCTGAGGCTGAGGCTGAGGCAGGGCTGAAGCAGATGCGAGCATGCTGCTGAGGCAGGCTGAAGGCTGAGGCGGTGGCTGAATCAGGCTGATGGCTGAGGCAGCTGAGGCGGAGGCCGCGGCTGAAGGCAGACTGAGGCTGAGGCTGAAGCCGGCTGAGGCTGAGGCTGAGGCAAGCTGAGGCTGAGGCTGAGGCAGGCTGATGCTGAGGCAGGCTGAGGCTGAGGCTGAGGCTGATGCAGGGTGAGGCTGAGGC